ACTTTGGGTATGTTGCAAAGCAGGATCAGTCCTTGGAGAGGGACGTCATGCGTGGGAAGGGTGGAGGGACAGGGCAGGAGAGGAAGACCCTCAATGAGATGGACTGATTCAGTCACTGGGGTAATGGGAGTAGGTGTGTTAGAGACAATAAGATTGGCACAGGATAGAGCAGGGTTTAGGGCTGTTGTACACAGGGTCACTATGAGTCGCAGGTGACTCAACAGTACAGAACGACAATAACAACAACAACATACCCTCACAACTTACGCTGCTGTTGTTATGTGCCATCAGGTCAGAACAGACTCAAAGTTCACCCCCTACTGGGTTTTCAAAGGCAGAAAATCATATGGGAGGAGACCGTCCATCTTTTTCCCCCAGAGCAGCTCCTAGATTTGAACTGTGTACCTTTGGGTAGGCAGAGTGACTTCTCGCCACTAAGTCACCAAAGCTCGCTCACAGCAACAGCTAAAGTAGGATTTCAAAAAGGAAGAAGGAGAGGTCTTGCTAGTAGGAGATTGCTACAGAAGGTCCCACGTTCAAGAGGCCAGCTCTCTGTCAGAACTGAACTGAGGAGAGATAAGTGACATGGCTGTCTGCTGCATTAGTGAAAATGGGAGAAACAGGGCTGTGGGCTTAAAGTCAAAATGAGAACCAGGATGGTCCATTTCCTGTTCCCCAAATACTTTCTGTTCTTATCCTAAAGGCTATGGAAGGTTTTTGGAGTCAGGCTGAACAAAAGGGATCCTGTTCCTTCCTTGGGAAAACTTGTTTATACGGTATCTGTTTTTAGACCTCGTAAAAGTTGGTGAACCCGGTCCTTCCCCAGGAACGTAAATTCTTCCACACTCAGCAAATATCAACAGGAAAGGGCTTGAGTCATTGATAACAATGAAAGCAGGGGCTCGTAACGGGCTCACAGCATTGGCCGCTTGGACAGAGGGTGTGTTTACAGGATAACGGGCTTGAAAAGGTCGGAAAATGTACTGAAATGGAGGTAAATTTACCCAACAGTGACAACCGTCTCATCTCTGACACAGCTCATCCTCTAAGGACTCATTTTGGAACTGTCAAAGCCTCCAAGCAGAAAAAATTAACTCTCAGCGGCTGAAACTTGGTTAAAGACATTTCACTGTGCAAGGAAAAATTTTTTAAAAAAACACCAAAAAAATCAGCAACCCAAGTTTCTTTTGGAATTGTGACAGGGGAGGAAAATTCATGCAGGAAACAGGAAAAGAACAGGGTCAGCCGGCGTGGACGTGCCAGCCCCATCTAGGGCCCCAGGAAGTAGGTGACAGTTCAGCAAGGTGCCCGGTGGGAGGGGTGACCTGGGTCTACTCCAGAGGTGGCTAAAAACATGCTCTAAAGAGGTGAAGTTCCCTGGCAGCCAAGGTGCCACTCAACTCTACCTTTGACAACATTCTGTGTCATGCGTCCCAGTGGCTTCAAATAACCAGGTGCTGTCCAATCAACGCTGCCTCTGAGTGACCTCTAGGTCCTCAGGTTTTCAATGGCTGCTATTTTCAAAACCAGATCGCCCGGCCTTTCCTTCAAGGAGCTTCTGGTTGGACTCAAACCTCGATTTTTTTAGTTAGCTGCTGATCACATCAATGGTTAGTACCTCATACCGACTTGCCAATTACACATTTATATCAGCATGAATTCCCGGATGTTTATTTTATTTTAATGGTTGCAATCCAACAAAGAGTGTTCTTCAGAATTCCCCAATGATGACAGCTAGGCCATCTGATCAACAAAATAAGGTGGGCCTGGCTCGGCTCATGGTCTTTCTAATCACCTGCTATGCATCTGGCGGCTGGGCAGTAGATAAGGGTGACAGAAGAACTGATGCCTCGAGAGGTATGGTGTTGGAGAAGAGTCCTGACAATGCGTGGGCTGCAAAAAGGAAGAACAGATATGACTTGGAAAGGGTGCAGCCAGGGACCTTGTTAGCGTCAAGGACGGCGAAGTTTCTTCACACATACTTTGGAAGTGTTGTTAGGAGGGGCTATTCTTCGGAAAGGGACATCATGCTCGGAGAGGTAGAGGGTCAGTGAAAGACAGCAGGACTTTCAACAAAATGGATTGACACAGAGACTGCTGCAACGGGCCTAGCGTGTCAGAGACGATGAAGGTGACACAAGACAGGACAGGGTTTAGATGTCGTTCACAGCGTCACCATGAGTTGTGCCCAGCTCAATGGCATTTAGCAACAACAACTGTGACACTGGTTTATAAGGAGCTCTGGTGTCATAGTCCACTGGGAATTGTATTGTTAACCCAAAGACCATGCATTTCTAGGGGTTCAGATCCAGATGGGGAATCTCCTTGATCGTGATTTACGGCCTTGAAACACCTAATGGAGGGTCAGGTACGAGTTGGTTCTGACTTGATGACAATGAAAGAAAGAAAGAAAGAGGATTACAGTTCTCAGCAAGAAAGAAATATCCAGAACTCATGCTCACATAAATACATAATTCATTCTGATATGGTTCAAAGGGATATAAATAAAAAACATAATTACACGAATAAATTATGAGGGTGGTAGTTGAGAATTGACAGAGCTTCCTATTAACTGGCAGAACACCAAATGCTAGAAGGGATAAGAGATACAGAAAACACCATCGGCAAACATTAGAGCAATAACTATCACAGGCAAGAATCACTAATGAAATAAATAGTGGGTGAAGTGATGGTAAACACAGCTAGCAGCATCGCTGAGAATGTGTTATGCCTCGTTAGAAAGAGGTCAGCGTATCCTCCCTCGAATATAGAACGTGTTACCCCAAGGGGAGTACTAAGAACTCCACACTGCTCCTGCCCGGCGTACACTAACACCAACCAGTTGATCCAATCCAGCGACACTGATAAGACAGCAGCTTCGTGTGACCCTGGTGGGGACACTGTGAAAGAAGTCTAAGCTACTCTGGTCCCAAATGGACAATCACACTCTAATCAAGAAAAACAGCACAAAGTAAGGGGCCATTCACAAATAACTGCTCTTCACATCTTGAGATGTGAAGGTTAGAAAAACACATGAAGGGACTGGCACAAATTCTAGGTGACCAGGAAGGCACGCTGTGGGGCAGAGCTAACACAAAGGTGGCCCCTTGCTGAAGGTCTCGATCCAGCCACTGCTCTAAGGAAGAAAAGAACTATATCCTCTATGCGATCTGCGGCCTCTGAAAAGCCACTGGAGGGTCAACTATGAGCGAGCTCTGATTTTTTTTTTCTTTTTATTTTATTATTTTGTGTGTGTACCGTCAAATCAGATCTGACTGCCCCTCCTCCTCCAGCAGAGCATCTGGTGGATTTGAACCACATACTTCTGGGCTTGTAGTGCAGCTTCTTGCCACTAGGCCACCAGAGCTTCCTCCGAGCTCTGATTTGATGGCAATTAGTTTTGAGTTTGAGGAAGGCATGAGGGAGCTCTGGGAGCACAGCCCCGAGTGAGACGTACTGTTAATCCAAAAACTCTGCATCTCTGGAGCTTCTAATGTATCAGAGGCTCCACAGAGGAAAGATGGGCAGTCTCCTCCCACTGAGACTCACCGCCTGGAAACCTGAGGCAGGGTCAGCACCATGCTGGAACCCAGCGAGGGAAAGAGGTGTGAAACTAAAGCACAAAGGAGGACCCGGGAGTGAATCCTGTGCAGACAAGGACAGGACTAAGGGTCTGAAAAATCCACAGAAGGTGAGTTAAGGGTATGAAGCTAAGCGTATTATGCCAATGTTAACTTCCTTCTTTCAATAGTGGTGGTTAGGTGTTAACCCTCTGAGAAGCTGGGTGAAGGACACAGAGGGACTCTGCAGTGTGTCTGCAACAATTCTGCAAATCTAACATTGACACAAAACAGAAAAGTTATAAAGAAAATGGGGTGAGTTTGGCTTGACTCAGCATCCAGCCAGGACCAGCCTGGAATACAGATGTTACCAGGGTGGTAACTAAAGGCCCAAGGGAACTACAGAGAAGAGTTTAACAATGTCAGTGATGGGAAAGAGAAGGGACAAGACTCCCTAAAACAATGGCGTCCCTCCCTTCACATTTGTCCATCCTTATCTAGATTTTCATGTCACCAGCAAGACAACTTTGTAACAATGAAAGGGATACAATGTGTCCCTGCAAGAGGCGATATCACAGGGGAATCTGGAGAAGGCTGTTCTATTTGTAGTGTTTGTAGGGAGAATAAACAGGAGGAGGCTATATTCGGGAGAAAAGAGAGCAAGTGCGCAGATGGCCTCAGATTCACAGAGGAAAGGCAGCAGGAAAACAGGTCTTTAATCCGTCCTGGAGGCCGAGCCAGCGAGAGGAAGGGATTCCGCAAGAGCGTCTCTTCACTAAAATTTTCAAAACTTAAAAAATACACCAGTCTATTCCATCTTCCCCTCAAAAAGGAAATCAAGTTCACAATAGTACATGTCGACATTTTCTAATTCTCAAGAGTAATAAAATACCAAAACCCCCCAAAGATTAGCCATTTCCTTAAATACTATTATCATCTGATAGAGATTATTCTTATCAATAATGAAGTTAATCTCTAGCCGTGTATTTAAATAACTGCAGGGGGATGTGTCTAAAAACAAACAAAAAAGGTAAATACTTTTAAAACAAGACGCAAAACTTTATGCTCCAAGTATAGCTTTCAGATTAAACATCTAGCCTTTTACTATAATTACATATTTAAAAAACTCGGCCTTCAATTTGGAACTGACTGAGGACTGACCCCTCCAGTGGGTTTTCAGAGGCTGCAGATGGCAAGGGAGGGGACCGCCCATCCCTCTCCCACGGGCAGCTCGTGAATTCGAACTGCCGGAGAGGGCCCACCTCTGAATTAGCAATGTAACTTGCTAGAGACTGTGCCGCCTGTAACATATACCTTCAATCAGATGTCAGCTTTTTCTCACTGTGGAGTTAACTGATCTGCTACTCCTTAGACTCCAGCTTGGATAAGTAATAAGGTTATCATTTTGAAGGCTACATGATGCTGGTGGCCCATACATACCTCCTACTGCATTGCAGCGAGACGTCATTTCCCAGAGGACCAGAGCCATGGAGTAGACATCCGTCTGCTTGAAGGACTCAACATTCTCCAGGTTCATCCTGGACTCGAGGACCTCTGGAGCCATATATCTTGCAGTTCCCACCTGAAACAAAAACCGCCATGGAGACCTTCATTCCAGCTGTGTTTGTAAATTTCTTGTTTGTGTCTTTAAAAAATAAAATCATATTGCTATTGTAAATAACCAACCTACACGGAAAGCTACAGCATATGAGAATTTTTCCCCCCCCTAAAACAGTGTTTTCCCCCTGAAAACCGTTTAAAAGCTTTAAACAAAAGACTTCCAAGAAGGAAGTGTCAAATTCCAGAGTTTGCTTATCTCGTCCATGATCCACCCCATCACATTCTTCAATAACATCCTGACAGATGACCTGGGAGACAACAGCTGTGTCAGTTTTAGATGTTTATTTTTGCTTTTGGAAAATGAATTTTTATTTATTTTTTTTTTTAATTCCTGAAAGGCCAAGAAAATTTATGGTCAAAATAACAACTGTAAACTGTAACCATTCTTTTCACTTAAGGACTGTGTTTGTCCCACAGTATGGGCCAGGGTGTTACCATTTCACAAAACCAGTACTGAGTTCCAGCAAAGAATTTACACAATAAGGAACACATTGGGTCACTTTGTAAGTTGTCAGCCTGTTGTGTTTAACTGTTGTGCTGCTGGGTCAGAACCGACCCATAACTGTCCCTCCAGTGTGTTTTCAAAGGCAGTAAATTGTATGAGAAGAGGCTGCTCACACTTCTCCCACAGAGCAGCTGGTGGATTCGAAACGTGTGCCTTTGGGATGGCAGCACAGCTTCTTACCACTAGGCCACCACTGTTCTAAGGTAAAAATGAATTCGTTTAGAGGGAAGATATAGGTTTTGTTTTTTGAAAGCTAGGTGCTTCAAAATCCTTTTATGAAAAGGTCACTTTTAAATGACAAGAAATTATGCCGATGGTATAACGTATTTGTCTGTTAGGTCTGTGCTAATCTCTATGACTGGCCACACACAAGCCTGGGGGGCGCTGGTTCTAAAGAATTAAACGTAAATGTTTGATTCTATAGTATCAAACATGTATAGCTCGATAGTGCATGACATTTCAACACTCACACTCACTCCTCATTGCCGTCGAGTCAGAACTCTCACTCCTCATTGCTGTCGAGTCAGAACTGACTCATGGCTGACCCTCCATGCGTTTTTCACAGGCTGTAAATCTCACGGACAGAGGTTACCTTTCTCTCACGGAGCAGCTGAAGGATCTGAACAAGCTCAGCTCCTTATTCAGTGGGGCCCTCAGATACAAGGTGTTCTCACCATTCCTAAAACTCGAAAACCTCATGACTGTGGTGGAGTCAGACTGAGTCACAGCTGACACATACACACACCCCGCCCCGCACACCGCCCTGGGGCTGAGGCTGTAAATTGCATAGGACGACATTTCTGAGAGCTCCTGCTGGATTTGAACCAGTAGAGGGGTGTGGTCTTCCTGTTAGATGTGCAACTCCATGGACCATCTGCCCCGGGCTCTGTAATGAAGGCCAAGGAAGGTGCTATTCCCATTCCTGGGTGCATTTCTTACTGACACTAACCAGACCTTGTTTTTAATAGACAGAGCCTTCTACGGCCCACTGCTCCGATACATGATAGGTGCATGTTCCGTTGTGTTTACCTGAACACAGCATGAGCTCTCAGGCACACAGAGGGGTGACGGATGGTGTAGAAACTCAACAGAAGGCTGGTACTCTTGTAAATATCTCGAAAATGATGATACTCCTTATTAACTCCACTCTAATCTGCAGTCAAGCTTTCAGCATAGAAAAACGGGGAGCCCTGTCATCCACCAAGGATGTCTCAGAAATGTCTAATCACTTTTAAATAGCTCCACAGCCTAAAAGGGTTTGCACTGTAATTCATGAGAGTGCTTCAGGAATGGAACTGTTCATTTTCGACATTCTGTCATTTGGTCATGGGTGGATGGATTAACGGACGTAGGTTTGGGCTTCAGGGAGATTATCTTAAAGGAGGGCAAGAGGAAACATATAAATATAAACAGATAAAAGTAGAAAGGGCCGTGGAGGTGCTAAGAAAGAGAAAGAATAGCGGTGGTATACTAACTATGTGTGAAAGAGAGTAAAATCACTTGCCAGTGGGGAAGAAATGAAGGATGCCTGAGTCAGGACAGATGTGTTTACTGCAGGTTGGAAAGGACAAAACGGTGAAATGATGCATGTTAGCCAAGGTACCCTGATGGGAAAGGGGAGTCATGTCCAGAGGAGGCACCCCAGGCAAATGTCCAAGGTGGAGGGCTGCTTGACATGGAAGGCATGAGACACAAGACAAAAAGGCATGCGAGAGACAGGAGCAAAGTCAGGAGGCCCCAGGCCCCTGTCCCAACTCACCTGCCCGCTGTTGGCCAGGTCATCCACGGACAGGGTGGGGTCCAGGCGGAGGGAGAGCCCGAAGTCACACAGGCAGCAGGTGAGGTCGTTTTTGACGAGGATGTTGGAGCTCTTGAGGTCTCTGTGCACGATGGGCATTTTGGGCCTCCCGCAGGGCGTGTGGTCGCTGTGCAGGTGTGCGATGCCCCGGGCGAGGGAGCCCCCCAGCTTGCGCAGGTCCTCCCAGCTGATGACGTGCCGGGTCAGGTAGTCCTGCAGGTTGCCCTTGGCATGGAAGGCGGTGATCAGCCAGTACTGCTTCCCCAGCTCCGTCTTCCGCTCCTCCGCCGTCAGGAACTGGAGGATGTTCTCATGCTTCAGGTTGATGTCCGAGAAGATGTCCTTCTCGGTCTTCCAGGATGCGTACTCCTCGTAGGGGAAGATCTTGACGGCCACCGTCTCGAACTGCTCGGACGTGTTCTGCTTGAGCTTGGCCTTGTAGACCTCGGCAAAGCGGCCCTTGCCCACCAGCGTGTCCAGCTCGATGGGCAGCAGCTCGGTGTTGTGGTTGATGTTGTTGGCGCACGTGGAGCTGATGTCCGAGCGGTCGTCCTCCAGGATGATGGCGCAGTGCTCGCTGAACTCCATCAGCTTCCGCGGCTTGTTACTGTCCCAGGAGGAGCTCAGTTTCCGCTGCCTGTGCACGCGGTAGCAGTAGAAGATGATGGTGACCGCGATGGCGATGCCCAGCGGAGGCAGCAGGCTGACACCTGTCACCTGCACGATGACTAGCAACAAATCTGGGTTCTTCGTGCTGTCTTCTGGTGGAGAAACAAAAAACACAAGAGGAGCTGGGTTCAGTTTCATACAGAACCAGTGAATAAGTCCAGACCCCAGGCATCGGTAGCATGTATAGCACCTGCATAGGTTTTGTGAATAACAGGACATGACTCTTTATCCCAGGCATGTGACTATGTACTGACTGGATGCGGCTCTCCTCTTCCTTGCCTCTGACGAGCCACCGAGCGTCTCACACTCTTCCCTAAAGCTTGCACTCAAAGGCCACTCCTTACGTGTCTGTGTTGAATGAAATGCAAAAGTTTGTGAAACTTCCTCTCACATATTTAGGGCATGTTGTCAAGAGGGGCCCGTCTTTGGAAAAAGATCTTGCTGGCGAAGGTGGAGGGGGTCAGAGAGAGGGAGGAAGACCCTTCAGGGGATGGACTGACATAGTGACTGTTACTTCTGCATCAAAGAGACCATGAGAACACACAGGACAGGGCAAGTCCAGACCTGTTATTCAGAGGGTCACTGTGAGTCATGGTCACCTCGACAGCACTGGACAACAAGAAAGGACAAGGACACACAGGTATAATCAGTAAAAGGTCTTACTTTATATATTCTCACAGAACCCTATATATCGTTTTCTTAGGAAACAATGTCGTACAATTTCAATTAAATAGCTATGACTCTGCTCACAGGTCTCCCCTGTATTTCTCCCAACTTTCTCACTCGGGGCAGACAGGAAAGTGCCTGCTGGCAGGGGTGACATCTTTCCTCTCCTCCATCGTAAACAGCATGGAGCGCACAGGAGATCCTTAATAAACGTGTGTGGAATTAATGTGCAAAGCGCTTCTGGACTGTTAACGATGTTCACAGCATTGTGGGAGCTTTGGGAATGTTTGCCCTCCAAAGTACCCGCAAAGTAGTCTGTAAAAGTCTGGAGATGCCATGCTTTTGGCCTAAGCTGTAGTTTCCCTACATCCAACTTTCCTTTCTTCATTCTTGTCCAAATTTAGACTCCCCTGCAACACCTTCCCCGGACCCATGAGTGCTGAGGAGAGTTGTCTGCAAGAAGCATTTCTTAAGCTGTCAAGTCCTCTGCTATCCACGAACATCACATCTTTTCAGTGTGCATGCAACTTGCCATTTGTTGGAATAGAAATATTTAGTAGCACAAATGGAAACACTGCTACAAAGCGGAGCCAGGTTGATAAGGAAGGAAACACGGCTCATTTCCTGACCCCTGTGAGTCGGTGGAGGTGAATGCTTAGCACTAACAAGCAGCTACATTATCTTGAACACCAAACGTGGGTGCATGCGGTGGCCTCGGGTGGTGTGGATTAAACGGTCTTATTCTTGGAAAGAAAGACATGGATGGAAATGTCTGGTGGACAGGAGACACGTGAAGGAAGAGTAACAGACCCATGGGCTGAGCTGTCCTATTAGCTGAAAATGTCAGTATTCTATTGTCTTTAAAAACAACAACAAAAACCCAAGCCCACTGCCAGGGGCTGGTTCCAATTCATGGTGACCTTCCCCCAGATTTCTGACTAAACTACAAACCTTAACAGCAGGACACTGGCCATCTTTCCCTGGAGGGCAGGGTGGGAGTTCCAACTGCTGACTGTGAGTTAGCAGCCTGGCCTAATACAGCAAGAGTCATTTATATTGTTTTCTACTCTCTTCATCCTCTCATGCAGATACCAATTAAAAGGTAGACTTAGAAGTCAAATGCTGGAGCTGTTCATTGCACATCATTACGGAGAGTGTACTAGGGGGTGACACCAACAAGATTTTTTTTAACGTGGTAACATTTGATGACTGGCTTGTGAAAAGTAGTAATATTCTATTCTTACTCATACTTGAACAAAAGAGAGGCAGAACCAGGTCTGGAAGTAGAGGTAAACGATGCAATTATAGATTGGAACAGAAAATGGGGGAAAGAAAAAGTTCTTGCAGAAAACGAACACTGAGATGAATCTTGCTTGCCCAGTCAAGTATGAACCTGGAAAGTAAAATGTAGAGGACGGGCAGGTGACAGAAAGCCAGGCACAACCGCTGCTGTCTCCCTGGAGTGCCATCTTCAGTATCTGAAGTGCCCACTTGTTTCAGCCCTCCATGTCTCGAGCCATGTGTGCTGCCTCGGTGGGGTGAAGGCCAGGCCCTTTTGACAGGCCCAGGCCATGTAAAGGCTGAGGCCCTTTATGATGTGTTGGACATGCTGGTTGTAGAAATGGAATAAACGACTGTTTTTTTGTGGGAAGGTTATTTCTCACATTCTGCATCAGGGACTAACAAAATGTGACTCAAAGGTCCACAGCTCATTTTCTTTTTTTTTTGGGGGGGAGGGGGTCAATATTTTAAAAACTTAATAAGAATGTAATAGAGATCAAACCTGACCCCAAAAGCCTAAAAATATTTACTATCTGCTCCTTTGTAGAATGTCTTATCAACTTCTATTCCATAGATACTATTTTTAAAAAAATTGTAATAGATTGGTCAATTTTTTTTCCACTTTCTTTTTATTTTATACTGTTTTGCATATACAAAATGCATACACGTGTGTATCACTCAAGCACACTGCATTTCACACACTCCTACACTCACATTGCATTTCAAATGGTCACCTCCGTACATGTGCTTTACAAAGTTAATCATCACTGCTTTGTGTTCACCACTACCCTGTCCTTTCGGGTCCCCACCGGATCCTTCCCAAGTCCCTCACTACCCCCTTAACCCACCCAACTCTGTCATCTCCTTCCCTTTTGGACCCCTATCAACATCTTCCTCCTTCTCCTTCCATCTCTACCAACAGTGTCACTCTATCTTCCATCTCTGAAGCAGTATTTTTTAAAAGACTTTCTTCTATATGAGTATTTTATTTCTCACAGAGGGATGGATGAAACATGATTTTAAAATTTAAAATTTTAACTGTATCCATCCAATAAACTTGCTTTATCCCGGCACCTTCGGTCCTCTCATGCTAATGTCTATTCCTTTTCAGGATAAAGGAAATTCAGAAACCGGTGTACTTGGAAGTTTATGTACAGCACTGTCTGAGGAAGATTCTAGAGATCCCTGGTTCACTGTTAGAAACTTAGACACTGTCAGTCTTAAAACTTCAAAGAGGCGATGAAAAAGACTATAACAATAGCAATCCCCTGAAAGGAAGTCTTGGGTTGTGGCTTTATCTAAACACAAGCCACCCACACCCTCCTGCAGTATTAACCCTTCAGCTGCTGGTTTAAAACCTATAAACGCAAGCTGAGTGAGGTGAGTACCAGCATCGTCTCCAGTCAGAGACCAGAAGAGCATATTATTTTTTCATCAACTCCTGGACACAGAGAAACTCATAAATGCAGCACTTGGTACATGCCCTGGCTGTATGAGGAGTATTTTATATAATAGTTATAAACAATTGATGTAAAGATAACGTGAAGTATATATTAGTACTATAAGCCCTATTTACATAAGGAAGCTAAGACAGAGATGATTAAGATGATAGATTATTAAGAAACTTAAGCATAAGGTCACAACCTTGGGCAACTGAAAAACTGATATTGAAAGCAGACCACAGACTTGGCCCTATGCCGTAATGTGTCTCAAGTTCACATTCATGAGAGTCATTAAAAATGACTTTATATAATCTCTCAGTTTGATAAAGTGGATTCTTCACAGATGCTGGCCTAGTGAACGGACTTTATATCCACTAGGGAGTGATCATGAACACACATTTATAAATGCACCTTATAAATCACAATACCAATGATTTTTGGAGACTGGGTCAAAGGCCACCATGAGCCTAAAGAAAGGCCTTGGTCACCGTCTTGAAGAGATTCTCATTGGTCAAGACAGGACAATTCGAACTTGAGTAAAGAAAAAGAAAGTATGGAATGCTTTACTTACAAAAAATGTAAAAGCACCATTGTTTCCTATTTGTGAAACAAACAACAAAACAGTGAATTTATCAACTCAGCATAATAGGAGATCAATTCATATTATAGAAAACTAACATACAACAAAAATATCACACATTATATTGCTTTTTCTATAAAAAGCCATCACTGAGCAATCAGTGTTAAATATTTATTCAATTATTCCAGCTAACAAATACGAAACAACAAAAGTAGAACACGATGGTTAACAAACGCAATGTATTGTGTGATGCGTTATGTGGGCTGAATCAGAACCAACTCATAGCTGATCCTCCAGCGGGTCTTCAGAGGCTGGAAAGTGGTTGGATGGAAACCGCTCATCTTCCGCTCAAGGAGCAGCAGGTAGGGTAGAACTGCGGGCTTTTGGGGTGACAGCACAACTCCTTACCACTAAGCCACCAGAGCTCCCCAAAGAATGAAATCGATACGGGCAACAGCACCAATGGACGATTAATACTTAAAAGGAAGAGATGACCGGACATTGTTGCCTCACGACAGAGAAACATAACCCCACCTAGAGATTATCCAAAGGATGAAGCAGAACTCTGACCAAGTTTTTTGAACTATGTTGTAGACCGAGAGTAAAGTATATTAATAAGTATTAATAACCAGACAATCAGTCACTTGTTATGCATCAGAGAGTTGGACAATGACTAGGGAGGATAGAAGGAGAACTGATGCCTTTGAGCTGTGGTGCTGGAGAAGAGTATTGAGGGTACCATGGACTGCTAGGAAAACAGATTCATCCTGGGAAAGGTTAAACCAAGCTGCTCCTTGGAGGCAAGAATTCTGAGGCTTCGTCTAACATACTTTGGACATGCTGTGAGGAGAGACTGGTCCTTGGAGGAGAACATCATGCTTGGGAGGGTGGAGGGCAGGTGCAGGAGGGGAAGGCCCCTATGAGGTGAATTGATTCAGTGACTGGGGTAATCGGGATGGGTGTGTCAGAGGCAGTGAGATTGGCAGAGGACAGAACAGAGTTTAGGGCTGTCGTACACAGGGTCGCTATGAGTCGCAAGCGACTCAACGGCACATAACAACAACAACAACAACGACGATACAGAACACCCAGAATGTAGGAGAAAATATGGAGGTAAAGCAGG